TTCATCCCAACAGATTTTAACAGCGTTTCTTACATTTTCTTCCTTTGGACCTTTCAGAAACACATGTTTGTACAGTCATCCAAGCATCACATGAGAATTTCAACAATTATTCAAATTCAGGTATGTCTAGGCAGTTGTCTTTTTTGTTCCTTATTTTCAGGGTCTTGTAAATATATATATCAGCATTAGCAACGACTCACAAAAATATCAGATAATTCCTCTGCTCCCCACCCTTTTCCTTTACATCTCAATGGACAGATAAGAAGCATAAAATGCATCTTTGAGAGATAACAACCAGAGGACCAATCCCTTCCGTAAAAAAAGACAATATATTTGTAGGACCAATCCCTTCCGTAAAAAAAGACAATATATTTGTCTTTTTTTTTCTCAGACACTTTAAGAGATACATATATAATTATTTTCTTTTGCATAAACTTGTATAAGTACTCATGTTTAACATTAAATATCTACAACTTCTCTATATGTATATATCTTATAGAATTTGACAACAAACAGGAGTGCAATGTAACTTGCATATAAAGGTAACATGTCAACTGCAACGTCACTCAAAACAAATCCCCAAAACAGTTTGACAGAAGAACACACACACACACACACACACACACACACTTTTGAGTGACTGTATCACATAAATACGTAAGGGATAAATATATTCTATTTCCTCTCAACAAATTTGACAGTAATGACAGAATGTAGATTTAATTTGCATGGAAACACAACAAACTCACTTTGTTAAACTTGTGTCAAAAAGTGGACACTGAGAAGCTGTGCACTAAATTGACGTAAATTACATGAATGTCAAACTTCAAAAAATTGCTTGCAATGATGTCGACTGACTGACTGACCTATGTCTGCTGTTTTGCGGTCAAAACAGGAGTAAACGATGGGCCCTGAGACCTGACCAGAGCAGAAGGACACAAGGAGACAAAAGTGCCAAAATCTTCTAAGATGACCTACATCTCACTTGTAACTGGCATTCTGACAAACTGAAGACAGACACGGCAATGTCATCAACAGCTGTCCTCATACCATCAGATGATCATCTAAATCACATAAACAACTTCCCACTACAGACTTCTAAACGATGCCACTTAACAAGGTGTTATCAACTGCTGGTTACAATTAACTACCAAATTACATGAATAGTGAATAGATATGAGTACAAAATTTCACACGATTCAAAGATATCAGGTCAGATGAAATCATCATTTTCAAAACACTCCGCTAAATCACAATCATCCATGTCGCTAAGATTTCCTTTGTTCATAAGCCATCTTATTAAAAAATTAGTCACTGAAGCACTGATTGAACTATACAAATAAAACATATAATATGTATAATATAGTATAGCAATAGGAAGTAAAGGTAAATAATACAACAGTGCACAATAAAATGAAGTGTCAACTGGAACAGGTTTGTATGGGTTTCAATTTTCATCTAAACTGGTCAGTTCTTTTCTGGATCAGAATACTAACTGTGTTGTTTTTTTCACCATAAAGAGCCAAAGTCCAAAGCAGAGATGCAAACACCCACATAATAAAACTATATGAGTTCCCCTCCCTATTATGAAATTAATTGGGCCACATCAAATTTGAGGGGAGAAGGGGAAACATTCAGCCATAGCTGACACAAGACAATATAGCGTCAATTCACCATTTTGCGTTACCCATGTCTTGCACTGGCTTGCAGGAAAGGTCGAAGAAAATAGCAACATGCAAAAGAGGAGGGGGGGAGAGAGAGAGAGAGAGAGCGAGAGAGAGAGAGAGAGAGAGATGACATAAGTACAAACAAACTACCTATCAAAGTAATGCCCAGCATCAGTCAGACGCAGAAAAATTTTAATCTTACTTGCCTTCCAATATATATATTCTAAGCTCACTAAAATTAAGTTCCATACCCATCAATTAAACACGAGTAATTGTACAAATTTTTTCTCTCAAAATCGTTCATCCAATAAGCTCACCTCAACAAGAAGGTTTTTTCCCCCTGATATTCTTTGAGCACAACATGCCACTCTCATAAAGGAATGAGCCATCAAGGAACTGCCATGACCACATAGTAAAAAAGAAAAAACTCACCAAGCTGTTCGAATGTACAAAGTCCAGAAAGCACAATTTTTCAGGAGAGCGAAAAACACTGTTTCATCCTTTTAGCAATTGTAACAACATATAAAATGTATCTTTTCATGTTTTTGTCTTTTTCAACATTTAGAATTTAAATTTAAATTTTTGGCAAAATATTTTTGAGCACATACAACCGATACCACAGACAAAGACACTATCCCAATAAAAATGTCATAATTTTGGGCGTAGCACATTTGAACAGCTGGCTGACAATAAGTGTTATGCTTCCTGTCAGTGCAAGTAGAATGAGAAATAATAAGTTTAAAACAAGGTGAATAAAAAAGACAAGAAATAACCAAATATACACACACAACCCAAGGGGGTCCCTATTGGGACAGTAAAAAAACCCAACTCATCAAATTATAAAATAAATAGTCCATCCCATGTGACCAGCACAGAGCAGCAAGCCCAGAAAGTACCAGAAGAAATCACAGACATTTGTTCGTGGAAAAGACGAAAACAAGTCAGTACTTTAGACATGCTCCAAGGATTCAGCTAAAGACAGAACAAAACTTTCACATTGGGACTGAAACAGAAAGCATCTCACACCAAAGTTGCAGCAAAGATGTGAACAAATCCCTTCAACTTTTTTTTTATCAATGATGTAACAAAACCGTAACTTCAGAAACAAAACAAAAAAATTTGGTGAGAATTTACATTCTTGACAGAACAGAACTGTGCCGTCCAATGGAACCAGAAGAAAACACAACATTGAAAACAGCACACGCACAGCCTCCTCTGCAGCAATCACAACAGATGTTGGCAAAGAAGAAAAAGTTGTCATGACAAAATACTTAAGAAATTAAAGCGCAGTCTTATAAGCAATACAGAACATATATGAGGCTTCGGGGTGAAATCTTGCGCTCGTCAAAATAATGAAATCAAAGATATCAGCATTTTCCAACCAGTTTGGCAGTCTTTATCAAATTTTTGGTTTTTGGCTCAACACCTTTTATGTCCATTTCAAAACGCATTTTTAAGTAGATTTTATTGAAGACAAAAATTACAGGTACAAAACTAAATTTTCAGTTTCCAAGGACTCTCAAGCTATGGAAATTACCAGACTTTGGGCAGCCATTTTCTCACTCACCTTGTTCACTTGCAAATATCTCGAATTCTATTCAACATAGATGGGTATTTTTTTCATTGAAAGATAGACAAATAACAGGCTCTAAGCTGATACCAATAACTCTACATGCCCAAAAATTGACCAGCGCCTGATTTCACCGCGTTGTGACACATATTTCTTTCTTCTGATTCTGATTCTTGCCCCAGCCTTTAACTTTCAGCAGTGAACCTCCAATTGGACCAAATTGTCAAGTAATGAATGTGTGTGTGAGCACATACTTGTATTTGTGTCAGTCGACTTGTGCACACATCAGTGTAAGAGTGAATGTCGTCGGTCGCAAGCGATCCACAAAAGTCAAAATTTTGAGAATTCTCAATTTGTATGTACACCCTCATAAAACTGTATCAAAGATGCACCTTTCATCATCAACAAAATGCATGTCTAATGCTATAGTCGAGGCTTACAATTTTCGTGCTTTTCATGATTCCTGATAAGAACAACAAAACAAACTCTATTTGTTTTTTTGTACCTGATGTAAAAAATACCCAAACAGACTCAAGTGGATTGCTTGCGACACCAACAATATGAGAGTTCATTTTCTACAGATGAGTCCACACATGACATAGTCACAGAACTACCTGGACAATGTATGAGATAAAGACAACAGTGGGACAAATTTATATTGTATCATTGTTTGTGAGGAAGATTAAGGATTAAATAGACGATAAAGTATAAAGACTACTTTGGCAAAAACCTAAGGAGAACATGAGTGTGTGAAGGAGACTGTGAGCACCACAAACTCAGGAGTTGGAGATCTGACAAATAATCTCCCCCAACCCCCAAATTTAAAAAAAAATTCAAATTTTAATGAAAAAAGAAAGCCCCTTAAAAATTGAAAAACAAATTTAATTCAAGTATCTGTTGACAAAGGGTGGGAGGAGGACCCGATGGCCACAGTAGACAAAATCATTTCCATTTCGCAAGTCAGCCCCCAAGTATTACACCTGACATGTCTACTGCACTTACCAAGCAACCGAACTGGAGAGCTTCTGACAGATACTGTCAGTAAGTTGATTTAAAAACAAACCAAAAAGAAGAAAGGAGGGAAAGGGCTTTTGGAGTCGCTAAAATCCATAAAACTGAGGTTTATCCCAATTTCCAAAGCATGAAAAGGAACAGATGATGCTTAACGCCTTCCATATAAGATGCCACTGCAATGCAAGTCTCTGTTGTTAGTACTGAGAAATAAATGCACAAACCATTACCTATGTGATTAAAATCTCTATTAATGCCTGCCAGAGTATTAACTATATCTAGCTGTGACTAGTTCCAATCATAAGGGAAACATCTTACTCTTACGTTCTTTATGACTAGACAACCCAATAAAAGGACAACAAATCAAAATAAATGCTATCAATTTATAAAGTAGTGTGAACGTAACTCTATTATGCAAAAAAACCTTAGTACAAAGAATAAACAATTGACATAACAATCAACGAACTCACATATAAGTATCTGATCATGATGCACTTAAACAGAAAACTACAAATGCAAACAAACTGTACTATAAAGAAAGGCTACCACTCTGGCAACCAACCGGGTTTAATATAATATTTAACTGGCCTGTCACTAAAAAAATAACCACAATAATAAAACAAGCAATAATGTTTATATATATATATATATATATATTTGTTTTATTATTGTGTTATATATATATATATATATATATATATATATATATATATATATATATATCATGTGTACAAAAAGCAAGACTAGATTTAGATGACCAAATAAAAAATTTTTATTTTTTTAAAATGTTCTCGCAGCCTCTGCAAAAACAAATCCACTTAAAGGGAGATCATTGTTTAAGACAAAGGACACCAGACACTAGAGCACCAAACTGTGGTGAGGCTCATGATTGATACAACTGAAAAAATTAGCACACGTAACAGAAGAACATAGTCGATTAAAAACCTCAAAAAATGCACATCAACAAGCAGCAGGACTAGAAAACAACAGCAACAGAAAACAACACAAGGAATTCTTGTTCAATCGTAATCATAATCATATCACAACCATTGACCAAAGCACAAAAGCCATGCGATACATAAACCAATATGATGGCCAAAACTGAATGAGGAAGGAAGAGAAATAAAGAAACAGAAAAATTGAGGAAAATTCAGTGCACATTGACACGACAACATCTGTTAAAAACCAGGCACAAAAATGTAGCAGCACTGGACTAGACTCACAAAAATACAATACATACTAAAGCATCTCACTCCAGTAAAAAAAGAAAAGTAATGTAAGGAATTCTTGAATCGTTACCAAGCAACTGCAGTTGGGAAACCTTAAAACATCATACAATTACTTAACAAATTAGATCAAATTAAGATTTTATGTGTTGACAATATTAATCCTTCCTCACAAAATTTCAGGCAAGGCACCTTTGTTTTAGAATGGGGAATTTAAACCAACCTCACCTTTAAAGTACATTGGACTTTTCAATATATTCCTTTAGAAATTTGGGATGGTTTAAGAAAATGTGTGTAACTCATACACTTATGAAAAATTAGGTTATATTCTTTAATATAAGTGACTGAATGTAAACATTTTTTAAAAATGAAACCATTTCTAACATTAGTGGTCTGTGGATAAACTTAAACTTAAACATATCATTTACAGAGTAATAAAATATTCACAATGATGCAATCGATCTGATATCAAATAAGGTATTAAATTTTAAATGAAAAAGCTCACACAGATCAAATTGTCTTAAATACTACAAAAACTCAACCGACTATATAATGGCACCAAGATCAGAATCTCTTGTATACAATAAATCAGGACAGTCTCATCTCTATAAAAACAATATATCAATCATTATTCATATGTTATCAAGGAGGCCCTATGTACAAACGCAATATCAAAATAGAATTCAAAAGCAACCAAACAACACTTCTTTTCAAATTCAAACGTCAGTTCAGAGCTTCCACTTTTACTTAAACTATAAAAACTGAAGCTTTTTTAAAACTGAAACTGAAAAAAACTGAAAAAGCAATACAGTTTACAGAGTTTTTCCTTCTTAATATTTGCCAGCACATGTGTGTGTGGTATTTTATCGTAAATGGGATAAATCATCATCATCAAGTGTCAGATCTGCGGCAGACATCGGCAATCATGGTTCTCCATTTATTCATTTGCTTGAATGCTCTCAAAAAAAAGCTACACAATCCTGGTCTATCCCCGCATCAATAGAGGTATAAAACATTTGCAGTCAAACAATCCTTTGAGGTCTCTACAAGAACAGATCTCACACAGCAACGCTGGAGTTGCAAGTCATGGCAAAGTGCAAAATAAAAAATTTGTAAAAAGTAATTTTTCAAAGTGTCAATTCCGCAATAACGAAAGTAACAAATTGTGTAATAATTGAGGAACAAAAGGAATATAAAAATACAACACTTATTATGACTATTCTAAAAAGAAAATCAAGCAAATACTTGTAAGCTATTTCCTTTAGCAGTAAAATTCTATTCTGTACACAACAGCCCTATCTCGCTCATGGTTCAAAAACATGACGGTAGAAGCCTGAAAAAAACCTCACTCTTGGCTGTTTGGCTTTATCATTCATAATTCTTTAGCTTTGAGGTAACCCTTTTCTGAACTTATCATCAATTTCTGCTCAAATGTTTCTCAAAACAGAGAAACAGAAAAAAAAGTAACAGAGGAGCTAAGTAAAAATATAACTCCAAAAAAGTACAAGGAAAGAAGAAAAGGTAACCCTGCTGTGGATACATACTAGCAAATAAAGTAACCTAAACTTTCTCACTTTGCCATCCAAGTACTATAATGTAATTTCTCAAACAACCTGTACTGAACAATTTTGCACAAATCTAATTGCTAATGCTCAGGAGCAAAGTTTAATTTCCGTTCCCACAATTGCCTTGCAAAGCATTCGGTTTCATTGAAAAACCTATATCTATATCTTTTTTAAAAAGCAAGCATGCTTAACAACAGACAGCAGGTGCTTCTATATACACTAAAATTATCAACAGTAAACTTAGCTACGCAATATTGAGACTGTAGCTAAATGACAGGAAACACTTCTTTTTTTAGCTTCCGGAGTAAAACTGTTGTAAAGGTTAAGAAAACCACAATCAAACTCTACTCCTAAAACTACCATCTCAAATTCTTTGTCTTTTTCTGCATTTAAAACACCCTATTTCAAATCTAATAATACTGCATTCCTGAACTTAATGGGACCTTTGGCAAGCAAACAGTGATTTCTGGAACACAAAGATCATATATTACAAACTGTGCATTTTGAATGTATATTACATTACAGCACAGCTTTTTTCATCAGCATCTCATTTTTGTTATCTTTGCATACTGAGATTCACTATAGAAAAACCGTTTCTTCTGAAAACATAACGCACAATACGCAAAAATTAGAAGCTCATGAAAAATAAGATTTGAGGTTTCCCAACAACTCAATTATTACAGGGAAACTGGCTGTCTTACAATGAAAATATGCTGACATGGTCCGGTTTTTGCATCCGAGGGACATACATAGTTCTTCATTCCATTTACAGCCAAGCTGTCCTCAGAAAAATTTACCTCAAGCAAGTGGAAAACTGGAAACACAGATCTGTGACGTTTGCAGTACATGCTGCAAGTTGTTGTTTCTGTCATTAGAAACTTTTATAAGCACTTTGACAATGTTGGCACAGTGGCTGGCTACTATTTCTTTCAGTCTCTAATCATTCTCCCGTCCTTAGCATTCATTCTCTTTTCCCCAACTGTTTTTCTGTATTCCTCTACAGTAGAAAGTTATCTTAATTCAAGTTCTATGGAAGACATAACAAAGCTATTGTGCATAGAGTTGTACTTTTCTTACGATAGCCAGTGTTCAAGGCTGTCGTAGAAAGTCCTTCTATTCCCCTATTGTTACTCCTGTTTGATGTCTCACTTTCAGCAAGAAATGACCATCATTGTGCTGAAGTGGTTCCCTTTATTCTATGCAAATTTTATGCCAACTGAGAGTACAGCTCTGCTAGGGGTAGGGATGAGGTTGTGATGCAAAATACCACCCTATTAAACATAAATGCAATAAACAGAAAACATTAGGCTGAGCTAAGGACTAAACTCAAAGGAACCACAAAGTAGATATAATAATCTTTGACTAGAATACCATAAAACCCATGAAATTGCCAGCGCTTTCACAACCAGCCGGTTAGTATGTCTGCTTGAGAGGTCACAAGCATATGTCATGGTACTTTGAACACATGAAATTTCTTTTTTCTGTTTTCATCCAACCGCTTTTGAAGCAAAAACAATGTAAAAACCTTTATCCATTCACCTTTCAACAAATGACACAGTGTACAAATGACAATTGAAAAAGCACAACCTTTGAAGAAAAAGTTTAAAGAATTTAGAAGATTTGGGAGGAGCAGTTGAGTGTTAAGGATTTGGGAGGAGCAGTCGAGTGTCGGTTTTCAGCATGTCAGCAAGATCATGGCTACATTTTCAGAGAGGAAAAAACAGTACCTTTTGAACAGATGATTTATAAAACGAAAGGGTATTATTCTTCTGAGGACAGTTAGGCGTCACTTACACTGGCGTGTTGCCAGTTATTGCAACTTTTTTTTATCCACCACAACCACCGCAGCCTCCACAACCTCCACCACCTCCGCCGCAACCTCCACAGTTACCTCCCCCACTATCACCACCACAAAAGTCGACGGTAGCAGAAGCCATCTCCATCCCACCTCCCGACTCAAACATTAGCCCCCCAGCCCCAACACCCCTGTAGATACCCCCTCCATTGAAGTTTGTGTCAGAAGCATGCTCATGACCTGTGGAAACATCAAATCCTGCAATACTCGTGTCATTTGTTACAGCTTTGGCATCATCACCGTAAGCATCCCAAACACTGCTGTAATTTGGGGTATCATTGGTTTTTGACCCACTTTGGGTTTCAGGTCCACTAACATTCTCATAGCCATTATGACTCTCTTCTCCATTAATGTTGTAAAATTCATCATAATAATTTCCAGCATCCTCATTGATAGCATAGCCAACGTGGTTTGACAGTACATCGTCATGATTAGGCTCATCTCTGTCGAAAACTTCATCATTCTCTAGGACATGATTCTCATCACCAGAACTCGAATGCCCTCTCAACCCCGACATCCTCGGACTCTCGTCATCCACTTCATCACTGTCATCTTCCCCATTGCCAAACAAACCTGTCTGACTGTCCACATCCACATTATCCTCATCTCCAGGATACGCAGCCTCATCTTCAGAATCTCTCAAACTATCATTGTCTCCTTCCTCCCCTCTTCCTCCTTCCTCATTCTCTGCTTCAGAGTTACCATTCTCTTCTCTACTTCCTTCCCGCAGACTTGTTTGTTCCTCCTCCTCTGCTTCTCCGTCAGAAGCTTCCACAACTGGGAGCAGAGTCGTTCTTTCTGTCGCCTCTGCTCCATTCTCTTCTTCCTCATCCTCCTCCCTCTGTTGTTGCAATCTTGTTTCCTCCTCCTCCTCTTCCTCTGCATTGTCCCCCTCGCTGATCACAGTTAACCCCGCCCCTACAGTCAAAGCGACATCAGAGACGTCACGACTACCACGATTCCCCACGTCCTCACCCCAGCCAGCACTCACTTCAGCCTCGTGCAATATCACAGCAGGACCACCATTCTGGTCATATTCCTCCTCCTCCCTACTACTGCTCCGTCTCACAGAGGAGCTAGATCCGTCTCCAAATCCTTGTTTCTTCTTTTTAAAGAGATTCTTGATGGCATGATTACAAGGTGTAGCAATGAGCACTCCTGCGGCTAGCAACAGAGCAATTTCTTCCGAACCTCCGAGACGGGAAGACTGTTCTTCACCCATGCGTGGGGTTGAATAAAGACGTGGGGCCCAGTTGGACGGACGCGGCTGGCACAGGACATGAATGAGGGCCACGCTGAAGATCAATGCAAGATTTTCAGCTATCTCACAGCGATCAGAGTTGATCTCAATGAAGCCACTGTCGAATTCCACAACACAGTCACCAATCTCAAACTTTGATGTGGCAAGCGAGTAGAGGCGGTCAAAGGACACATAATGCCATCTGTGGGTTGGGAGGTGATAAAACCGGATTTCTAGATGTCCTTCACTGCCAGAACCTGAAAGAGAGGGAGACCAAAAAAAAATATTTTAAAAAATTAAGTTTTGATTAAAGCAAAATAGCCAAGAAAAAAAACAGAGAAACCCTGTCCTTTTTGTGCTTCAGTAAACACTCATAGAGAATGTATGTCCCGTTAAATCATTCACAATACATTTAAAAAGCATGATGTATTTTGATATTGATAAGTGTACAGTACCATACAAAAGTGGAATGGGCATTAAATAGAAAAAAAAAAAACCTTTCAATTGTGGGATAAAGATAAAAATTAATTGAATATGACTTAAAATAACTGATCTTTTAAATATTTAATGCCAACGTGCCTTAATTGAATATTTTAATTTTGACATCTCGCCACGTCTCTTCTCTGCACTGTGTTAACTGGCATTGACCAACACATCTTAGTATAAGAACACCCCATATAAGAAACAAACATAGAGAAAGAACAAATTTGCCCTACCACCCTTACTTTCTTACTGCTCTAGTCATTTGACAGTACATTCATATTTTTATATATGCAAATCATTTTCAAGAATAAAATTGAAAACACTTATTATTCATATAGAAAATCATTTACAATTTTAATCAGTGCTTCCACCAGCTGAAGCTGAAAAGTAAGGAAAATTCTGCCGGGGGGTCTAAATAGAAATTTAGTACTTTAAGGGGTTGAAAATGGCATTTGGGAGCCTGTTTGAAGAGATTGCCAACAACCCATACTACTTATTTTTTTCACCAAGATTTTGTCTTGTTTGGTTTCTTCACCAACATATCTTTCCATTGCTGGCAATGTTTAAAAGCAGGTTCCTCTTCCATGGCTACTATAATTCTATTAATTTGTCATCGCACCATTGATAGAAGGCAAACCTGGGAACAATGAATAGAAATGTACCTTCACAATACAGTTACCCAGCGTATAGGCCTATCCTAATTTTCCCGTCTGAATGTCGCATGTCACAACCTCGCAACACCACTTCGAATTATTCTTGATTTTAGTAGTTTTAGCGCAAATTCCTTTCACCGCGGCCCTTATCGCGTTCCCGTGCCGTAGAATCTTCACACTGATAATTTCTCTAGACATAAACAATAAATTTGCAAACAAGTTTCTTTCTGACTGTAATTTTCTGTCTAAGATCACAAGTCAATTTACTTTATTAACACGCAGATTTTCCAGCCGGGGCAACAGTCCGAAGATAGACAGACGGAATGAGGGAATGATAGAAAGGAGGAAAGTGGCACAAAAAGTTCGCCAGATTTTGATCAATCTGCAAGTAAAAAATGTACTGCCGACCAACCCGCAATGAATGCAAGGGGCATAGCGGAATAATGGCCGATGGCAGGAAATGCACAATCGGGCAGGTTTCTATAACATAAACTATTGCCGAGAGACTTACAATAAATATCCTTAACTTATACAAGACGATATGAAGGCAAGTACGGATCTTTTGCTACGGAATTTCGGTAGTCCTATGCTGTCGCAGATTTTTATGGAGGGAGTTGATAATGATGGAGGAACAAGTACGGAACTAGCAGAAAGTACGGATTTCCGTAAAATTTCTTGATCTTTTACCCAGTATGACACAATGAATTACCACTTTTCAGTGATTATGTAATTGATGTAAAGTGCTCAGAGCTTATACTTGTTTGGGACAGAGCACTATATAAATGTAGTCTATTATTATTATTATTATTTTTCTTTTTATTATTATTATTACTATTATTATTATCATTATCTAGATTGAAAAATAAAACAAAGTCTGGCAAAACAGTGAGACTTCCAGAAAAAAAGGGAAAAGAAAGGATTAATCTTACCTTTTCTTCCCGTGGTTCTTTTCTGATACCCATCCCACCATCCCACTGCGACGCCCCAGTCACCCTTGCTGTTCTTGATGAGTACAGCTCGTTGACCCTCCTTGGGGTTCAAGGTGATGCACTTCTTGGGTTCTCCAACCTGGACACAAGAGAAAATATCAAAAGAAGTTATTTGACTAGGGTTTAGTTTGTTTTATGGCAAGTCAGCATGAAAAGAGAAACAGTTTACTTTAACAGTCACGTAGATGCAAAACATTCTTCCTAAAAATCTTTCTAGCATGTGTTGATTACAGTGGCATTTGGCTTGATGGATTCTTGTGGCTGATGAAAGTATGTCCTTCTGGCTGACTAGTGAAGCCACGAACATCAACTTTGCCTTGGTACGTGATCACATATTACTGCGATTGTCAAAACTTGTCTTGTCAAAAGTGAATATAACTGAATTATAAGCATGAAAGAAAATATGCACAAACGATATGAACTAGAAGCAGAAGTATGAAAGCTCAGCATTTACTGAGCAGACCTGCACTTATCACTACATGGCATTGGACAGAAGGGCAAGAGCCCAGCTGTTGCTGGATCGATAACAACAACAACAATAACAGAGCCAAAAAAAAAAGAATGTTGTCAAATGAAGAAGACATAACAATAAGAATGACAATTTTTATTCATCTCGCAGGGAGAAATGTGTCTTTACCATTTACAATGGCAGTTAGTTACAAGTTTCATATGCACTCATGCATTATTACAACAAGAGAAGACATAAATGTTACATACTGAGGTGGGAAGTGGTAGCTGGTCCCCGACCACCAAGTGAGCCACAGCGGTCATCTTGTCACCATGAAACACATGGATGGCTGACATGAGCAATGCTTCACTGTGAATCATCCGCACCGTGAACACCACACGACGTGTGTGGTTGAATAGCCTGTTAAAATGAAGCGTATATATTTATAGCAAAGTATATTATAGAAAACAATAACTTTGAAGAAACTACAAACAATTTCTTACATCAGATAATCAGTAAATATTGGAAAAAAAAGAGAAGCAGTTAACAAAAACTATATGCATAAGAATTTGTGTAACAGAGAGGGAAGGCATGTTAGCCCAAGATTAAATAAGGTGGAGTATCAATTCGACAGTATTTCCTAGAAGACTAGGCAATCTCATGTATTCAACATGAAAACGGCAGCCCCTATCTAAGATCCCAAAACTAATAATGGCTCTTAACATCTATGAATGACAGTTTCAAACAGCCTTAGAATTTGCTGTTAGCAGTTTTTCTTCGGCAGTTCTCTTGAAGGCAGCGTTTGCCTTGCGACTCAAAGGCACACCCTGCTACATTTTGATTTTGAGCACACAAGTCTTGGGTCTGCAAGATGTACCTCGACCTCCTGTCCCTAAACATGGGACCAAGAAAAAGCAAGGTGCTATATATGAATTTAAAACCATAACGGCTGAATGACATGTCTGAATGAGAAATTCTTGTCTGGTACAACAATAACTCTGATGACTGACAATTTTAATCACAAGAGTTGATGCCTACCTTTCTATAGAATAAAATCATACACATGCATGCCTTGGCCCAGAATAGCCACTGAAAATAAAGGGACAGCCAAGTTTTGCCATTCGAGACGATGAACATGTCACAGTTCTGTTTGGCTAGATTATGTTTAGGGAAAAGCACCCCTTGTGAAATTCTTACCTGTAGAACCAGGAGTTGAAGAAGGAAACTTACATAGTTGAAAACTTAAAAAGAAAAGTGTGATCTTAGATGATAGGATCTAAGATGTAACTGTCTTCTGAAAATGAACTGATGGAAGAAACCTTTGACTTTCCATTTCTAACGACCTGCTATTTCGCATCACAAGAAGATAAACAGATTTCTGTCTCACTAATCTATTTTTGAAATCTTATGACAAACAAATCAGATTTTGTCCTCAAAGTGGTCAATTCTTCCTCATAAAGATTCACAATTGAGTTCCATTCACACTATTGGTCTAAAGTAATAGATTACTGCTGAAAGATTTTAATAAAAACATTCCATTGCTTCCCAGAGCAGGGTCCATCATCAATAATTTGCTTAAATAGAGGCACCAGCCATTTATGTCCAGGTGCTGTTTTAGCATGCAGAGTAGGATCTCAACCTGAAAGATACCATCTCACTCTTGACCAAGCATGAAAATGACATGTTGCCTACTTGTGGGAAGCAACAGAGCAGTAGTTCTCCAGGTGAGCAGGCAGGCGCTGCAGCGGTATGGGACCCCACATGGACTCCCTGTCTGATGGGATCACGCAGCTCTGGTAATCACCGGGCTCCAGACGCAGCACGCAAGGACCTAACACCGGGGCCGGGCAGCTCCACACCTGCAGGGGGCACAGTCAAAGATGAAATAAGGAATATAGGACAGAACAGACTTTCTCTCCAGGGAAAGCTTTGTGATGAGGGCCCATTCTACTCCCCAATCCACAAACATTGGAGCAAATTTTTAGTTAGTTTAGTTTTAGTAGAGGTTTTACGGTGCTCGCAACTGCATAAGGTCATATGAGCGTCAGAAGATTAGAGGTGTTACAAGAGAGTAACAAACATAAAAAACAAGAAGGGAAAATAAGGATGATAGGTGTTTGATAGGAAAGAAGAAGCAAACCACACCAGAGCACCCCCCTATCACCCACGAGCAAATTTCAAGGTTCAGTTAATATACACTGGCGATCAAAAGAAAGGTACCACACGTTTTTATTGCATAAAAAATTTTGTTTTTGAGTCTTTAGGCTTTTCATTTCACATGAACTAACACAAAGTAGTCAGAAAAGTATCAACAGAAAACTGATGTTGAACATCCTGGCAACAGCAGAAACACAAAGAGCATGCCAATGGCTTCAAGATTATCATTATGATAGAAGAATTCTGAATCAAAATACAATACAATGTCAAAACTTCACACAAAACTCAACAGAACATGATTTCAAATTCTCTATCAAAATAAAAATTAAATTCTTGAGTATTCAATAAATCAAAACTTTTTAAAATCTTACTTTCTTTCACACTTATCATACTGTCCAGTTGTACAACACATTAAGTACTATTTCAGTTTTTTATTTACTAAAAACTGCAGTCCTTTTTCTTACAGACCACATTTACACACAACAATAATTACTAGACTAGATACTCACAAGCCCAATACTAAGCTCATCTCCACAGTTAATGTCATCATTAGCCGTGAGACCTTTGCTGTTCAGGGGTTGGATTTTCTTCTGAAGGTCCAGTTTCCCTTCTCCAAGGGTGTCACTGGTACCAAGGCAAAGTCTTCCAGATTTCTGGTGAAGGCTGGCGATGAGTTTGTCGTTGTAACGAGTATCAAAAGAGAAGTGAGTGTTGATTTTGTTGTCTTCTAAGGTCCGAGAATTTCCTTTCACAGTTATGATATGATCAGTCACAAACAATGACCGGTTGAAATTCTGATAACCAGTATTGTAGCAAAGTTTCAACTTAAACGTCTTGCCAGGTGGAAGCCCTGCTATGCGAACCTTTTCAATGAGAACGTTCACTTGCTTTGTGCACACTTTATACACATCTTCTTTGGACATTCCAATAAGTTTATTATGTGGAGGTTCTCCACGAAACATTGCTCCAAAATGTGAAAACTTTTCATTGAACACCTTCCTCCACAAATTTCTTGTTTTGGCTTCTGAGAGGCATAACTTGGAGCCTGCAGTTCTGTCATTGACAGAATCGTCATGTGGTAGTAAACTACCAAGATATGCCTCTGTGTCATCCTTGTAAAGTGCAGGGTGAAGCAAATGAGTATGCCATATCAAATCATTGTCATAGCAGGGTACCAGAAACATACCTGGGTAATGGAGCTTCAGAAATAAGAATTTTCTGTAGCGCATGAGACCATTATTCAAAAACTTCTCGTCTCTGTAGTGAGGAAGACTGACTTGGTAGTAAAACAATTTCTGCCTTGAAACAGCCGAAGTTAAATTATAAGTCAAGGCGGACACAAACTCACAATCAAACCAGGGTGTCACAGCATCACACGCAGAAAAAGGCACATCAGTGTATTCATTTCGCCACAACCGCTCTGAGTCTTTCATTAGTTCTTTTCTTTGTGTCCTATCAATCATGTGGTGGTCAACTAATTTTCCCACAATATTTCGGCAGTCTGTCATATATGCTACTGGAGCCAGCATATGACAATGCCAGACCCACTCAATATCAAGAGGGGCCGGAAGTAATCTTCCTGGGTGTTTTGCAACCAAAGGCAACCAATAGCGTTCATATCTTTGTATTGCACATTCAACAAGAGGGCCTTCATAAAGCTCAGGCTTTAAAGAAACTTCATGTAGAAAGTCCAAGACATATCGAGCTGCTTCAACTAAATCAGCTGATATAGGTATTTCATTTGGGTCAAATGTTATTCCGTTTAAAGACTTTGTGGACATGTTTATCCTCTTTAATATCCAGATCAGACCAGTGGAAGAAAACGATGAAATATAATTAGATCTACGTTCAGATCTATCTAAAGTTCCATTTCAGAATGTACTTGAACATGAAAGCCGCAGACGAAAATTCCATGCTTGCACTTCCCAAGCAACAAAGAGCTGAATCTGTTCCCAAATAGGCCTATGTAGAGACAAACAAAATCCTTTAAAGATCCTGTAAAATTAGCATTAACCCACACAAGCTTTTAGGATCATATCTAAACAATTTGAATTGTGTCAACAGTGACAAGGTCAACATCAACATTGTTTTTGGGTTTTTTAGTAGATCGAGAAGATACGTTCCAAATTAAACTTCAAATTAAGACAAAGCAATAAATTCACCGGTTAATCCAGGAAGCATGTAACATATCAGCTCTATCTCACGCTGAATTAAAAGGAGACTAAAGTTCTTCAGCGTTGTTCACGTTGTTTTGGATAGTCGCCGATGAATGGAAGATGATTGCAAACAATTATGATTTTGACTCAAAACATTCTGGCCTCTGCTGGCTGGCAAGGCACTTCGCCAACACTTTTCATGGAGTAATACTGATCAGGCTTCAGAAATGCACTATGATGATTTCAACTAGACGACGTGGACTTCTAGTATTCGTAATGAAACTTGCAATAAAGTTGATTATCGAGTGAAACGAGTGCCACTTGCTGATCTATCATTCATTTTTGTTGTTGACAGCTTCCTGAATCCTCCCACTTGGCTAAGCTTCCGGTCCAATGCGTAACTGTCTCGTTGTTTGGACACTTCGCGAAATTCTTATGACGGTACATACTTCTAATATAATATTAAACCTTCCTGAGTGAGCCCGGAGAACGCCTCGGCAAAATATCCCACTATGAGTAATGTATAATAACGGTCACAAATTGTAGAGTAGCCATTGGTTGACTGACCATCAGTTATCTTGCAATTTAGACTACTTGGTTATTCCCGCAAGCAAGCATGCAAGCAAGCAAGCAAGCGTGTGTATGTGTGCGTGTGCGTGTGTGTGTGTGTGTGTGTGTGTGTGTGTGTGTGTGTGTGTGTGTGTGTGTGTGTGTGTGTGTGTGTGTACTTGAATGGTTTTGGGTGTTCAAAGAGCGTGGTTTCGGGTACTCAACGAGACAGAGAACGTCGTGCACGTAAATGAGGTAATGAATGTTTGAATTTGAACATACTGTAATACGAGCAGGAGAAACGAAGCCTATTATTGCAGGTGGGGTCCATCGGCTGTTGGAACTGCAGATGCAGGGGCTGGTGGCTCTGGTGGGCAAAGAATCAGCGAGAGATTTTTAAATTAAAAAAAAAAGGCAGTGGGCCCTAGGCTTAATTAAGCAGGCAGACGTTACGGGCTAACAAACAGTGTAATTTGCATAATGTTTTATGCATGCATTTGTGTCTGGTCTTCAATGAATGATACCTGGAGATCTGTCTCGTTCGGTCAGCTATCCTTTGACCTGATGCTGTTACACAAAAGGGTGTGATTAATCCGTATAAATATATACCTAGAGTGTAGGCCTATGATGTAGATGTAATTATAGCCCCTAACCCCTACAAGGACCTAAAATTCCAGTCGAAATTACGCAGAACATTACAAGTCATGCAAAACATAATAATAATAATTATTATTATTATTAAATTATTATTATTACTATTATTATTATTATTATTATTATTACTATTACTATTTTAAAGTTATTATTGTTGTTGTTGTTATTGTTGTTTTTATTATTATTATTATTATTATTATTAAGACTATTTTTTAAATTTTTTATTATTATTATTATAATTTTTATTATTATTATTATTAGGCCAATTATATAATGAGGTTCCATATCTCCATCCTTTTTTAGATGATGACGATAAGGCCAAGCTAACCTGGCTGCAAGACAACGATGACTCCAGAAGGACGAACTTTTGTTTTGTTGAAGCAGCTGCTGCAGCTCTTTAATGGTTTTACAAATGTGCTGCTGTTGCTGTCGTTATTTCTGTACTACTATACGTGTTGCAGAGCTCTATATAAGTTGCTATTGCTGTGTTGTATGTTTTGTTGTTGTTGTTGTTGTTGTTGTTGTTGTTGTTGTTGTATCAGCTCCCAACGTCTCAATCTGTGTTCCGAAATTGACCGCAAACCGAGTTTGCCCTAGGACGAGCGAGTTAACCCAGGCGCGGTGAATCCACGCGTGGTAATGTATTTGGGGTTATCATGAGACATCGAGAGGTCTTGACCTGTCGCCCGCCCGGACTATAATATTATACCACCTGATTCCATATATCCAGAGTACGTGCGAGTCCCAATAAAGAGCAGAATAATTTTCCACAGCAGCTTTGACTGGTCAACGACATTAGTGCCACAGACGTGGGGAAGTGACAAGAGGCGCATTGGCAACAGGGAAGATATTGGCAACGATGTTTATGAATTTGTTAAACTCTGATAGAGTGTGAAATATCCGGTGTTGCTGTGTTACTACTATTACTATATTGCTTTGTTTGTTTGTTTGGGTTTGGTGTTGTTGTTTTTTTGTTTGTTTGGGGTTGTTGTTGG